CTTTTTGGCTGATCCGTAAAATGGTTAAATCCGTCACTAAAAAAACATAATGTGTGTATAGCTGAAAAACTCAATATTACAATGTAACTTTTTTTGCATTATCATGCAGTCCTAGTAGGGTTGCATGGTATTGGAAAAAACTGACATTTATGTTTAGCTTTTCTGTAACGCATAATGTGATCATGAATTGAATCTCACTACATGACTTGTATAGCTTTATTTGGATTCATCGTTTTATATTTCATGAGGCAGCACATCTGCATAAAATATAATAAATCAATTACAGTACAAACACAGATAATTGCCATAGAGCAAAGATACATATAAAACAAACAGTGCTGTTTTCTGGAGAGTTTTGGTACAGATAAAATGTAAAATACCACTGTATAGTCTTCACATGAATGCATTTAATAATTAATCTCTGTCAAATCTATAAACGTTATATTTTTTGTGCCTAAAAGATTTAAAACAGGTTGAAATGTCTGCACATTTAATGGCCGAAATTACACGAAATTATTGAAATAGGATATAATTGTTTGACAGGGGTGCATGGCACAGTGGGAAGCACTGTTGCCTCACAGCAAGAAGGTTGCTGGTTTGAGCGTCGGCTGGGTCAGTTGGCATTTCTCTATGGAGTTTGCATGTTCTCCCTTGTTGGCGTAGGTTTCTTAAGGGTGCTCCGGTTTCCCTCACAGACAAAGACAAGCGCTATAGGTGAATTGGGTAAGCTAAATTGGCCGTAGTGCATGAGTGTTAATGAGAGTGTATGGGTGTTGGGTTGCAGCTGGAAAGGCATCCGCTATGTTAAACATATGCTGGATAATTTGGCGGTTCATTCCGCTGTGGCGACCCTAGATTAATAAAAGGACTGAGCCCCAAAAAAAAAAAAAAAAGAATGAATAATTGTTATGAAACTTTAAAAAAGACTGATTCACAATTGCTTTTATCTATTAGGTTTAAACTTTGCAATAGGGCTGCATGATGTTGTAAGTTTAGTTTTTTTGTGTTATATATTGTGATATGAAAACAGTTTCACTAGATGACTTTAATATTTATTTGGTAAGAATTCTAGTACAGTTATTCAAAAGTCGTATTTATTCAAATGGTACAATTCCTTACTGCCTGAATGATTTAAACTCTCTTGCGCCCCATTCACACGGGGCTTCAGCGTCAACGCTTCCCGTTCACTTTGAATGGGTGACGTCAGTCGTTGCCGAACTGCATTGTGGATCCGTCAGCGCCGCTTTAGAGGCGTTGCTCGCTGTAGAAGTTGGGACTAGCTGAACTTTTTAAACGCAGATGGAAGCGACAGCCAATCAGATTGCTATATTCAAATACACCTGCTAGACAGTGGCCTATTGCTGACTGAATTTCATTGGCTGACGCTGCTATGACAATCGCGTCAACCCCAACTTCAGACAAGCCTTCAGTCAAGCGTTAACGCTGAAGCCCTGTGTGAATGGGGCGTTGATGTGCTTAAACTGTCACAGGCCTTAAATCACATGCAAATAAAAACCTTTTGCTCCATTATTTATGCTAAAAATCTTTAATGACTCCAGAAATCTCATGTTGTGAACTGCAGCTCCTGGTCAATTATAATCCCTATTATTTGTTCTCCAACTAAAATGCTTAAGGGGGATAATAATATTGACCCTAATATATTTCTTAAAACATTGAAAACTGTGTTTATTCTAGCCGAAATAAAACAAATAAGACTTAGCCCAGAAGAAAAAATATTTTAGGAAATAGAAATACCTTGAAAATTTCCTTAACATAACTTGGGAAATACTTGAAAAAGAATAAAAAATTTAGAAGAGGGCTAATAATTGTGACTTTAGCTGTGTATTGTCTTGCTGTAGTTTTAGGTAGCACTTGTGTAGGAAGCTGACTTCAGAGCCAGCAGCTCTTCCTGCCTTCTTCATCCCGGATCTCTGCACAGCTGCAGTTACAAATATAGATCCAGTGTGGATTGGAAAGCCATCAGTACATCCACACGACACTGACAAACAACATAAACAAGCTACAGATTGACTCGATGAGCATAAAACACTGATTACATTGATTATGTGCAAAAAAAGCACTCATCCAGACCGATAACAGTGAGTTAAAATGCCAAAGAAAAATGTAACTTTGTCACTTTTAGCTGAGTTGCAAATATAGATCCAGTGTGGATTGGAAAGCCATCAGTACATCCACACGACACTGACAAACAGCATATATACAGTACAGATCGACTCTGAGCATAAAGCACTGATAACATTGATTATGTGCAATAAAAAACATCAGGGGCCACTAGTATCAACAAAAACTTTGCGTATACCAGGTTTCACGCTTGCGTTTGGATTGACTTAAGATGAAATTAACGTGATTGAGCGTTGGTTCATGTCAACTTCATGTCTAGCGTATGTGTATTTCTTGTGTGTGTCTGTTTTTTTCTATTGGCGACTCCTAGAGGCAATTATGTTAAACTGCACACTACAAAGTATCGCATCATTTGAAAAACATTGCTATAAATTTATAATTGATAAAATGGGTTAAATTACAATTTTTTTAAAACCAATTATGTTATTTAGAACATATAAAAGCATTTGCAAATGTATACAACCCTTACTCTATGGCAATGGCAGTGTTGGCCTTGTTAGAGGACATTGTCAATGGTCGAATCCGAAGGCTCCAAGGTGGCAGGGTGTGCAATGTGTGGCTTCTTGGTGAGTGATGTATTTAAAGATATTATTCCAGCTCAGTTTTTTTATTATAATTTTTTATTGAGAGTAATTAAGTAACTGCATATCAGGAGACTGCGGTTACACATTAAAGACGTGGCTGTTAACTCCCCTCAACTACCCACAAACTGACCAAGAGCGCAGATACAATGATTCCCATTTTCGCACGCGCTCAGTTGTAGAGTGGGCAATTGAGCCGCTGAAATGCTGGTGTCGCTGCCCTGGTAAGACCGGAGTGGTGCTGCTATACCGCCCTAACAAGTGTGCCTCTAATACATCTGTGTCTCCCACAGACACCGATACTACTCCAGACAGTAAAGTGTCACCCACAATTAAGGCAACTCTCTCCTCAAAGGGTGTTAGTTCAGCATCCTCTGTGCCCCTGCCTGTTCGGTCCACACTTTGACGTTGCGCCGCTGTTCTCCTCTTAACCTGGACCTTTAAATCGGACCAAATCTTTTTTAATTCACTCACAGTGCGATGTTCAGACGATATTTTTTTCTTTTGTTATTAATTTCGGAGAACAAACTTGCAAATAACACAGTTTTTCTCCGGTCTACCTCCGATAGGAGCACCTCCAATTCACATTCTGTGAAGTTTCTCTACTAGCTTGCTTTTGCCACTGCTTTTTCGTTTGGTTTTGCCAAAGTAGATTCATTACCATATTTATCAGGGGGAGGAGGCATGGAGGGGGTTTGCAATCGTGCATGTGCGCTCAGCTTTACATTAAATTGGATGTACAAAGAGAATATGCGTGGGATTCTGCGTATGCAGCGTTTCATACATCTGATTTTTTTACTGCGTACACACATTTACAGCTTTGTGCGTACGCAATGTTTTAGTATGAATTCAATGCAAGTCTTTGTACATGAGGCCCCAGACCTCCAGACCGGTCAGATTATAGTGAGTTAAAATGGCAAAAAATGTAACTTTGTCACTTTTAGCTGTCAGTCTTTTGGTATTAATAATTAATATGAAACCTGATTAGTAATAACCAAACCAGCTATAACAAACCTGCCGTATAGCTAAAATACAAACACGCACTCAAATAATCACAGCTGCTGAGTTGTCTGAGTTTTCAGTGAAATCTTTAGCATCTGATGCCTCTATGATGTCGCTCTGCTATTATTAGGCTCTGAATGTGGTGTGATGTTGAAGCGAGTGTTGAGCTGCACTGAGGATACTGGCCTCTTTCATATAAGCCAGAACTGAAAAATCAACACTTATCTTGTTCTTAGTCTGCCAGCTATTTTTGGTGGTCATGGGGTCTTACGTGTGTGTGTGTGTGTGTGTGTGTGTGTGTGAGAGACACACAAATCTGTATAATGACACGGGTATTACAAAAAGGAGGTGAAATATGAGGACATTAGTGACGTCCTCATTTGTCAAAATGCTTATAAATCCCACAGGATGTGTTTAATCAGAGTAAGGCAGTCTCCTGTGATGGTTGGGTTTAGGGGTGGGGTGAGGGCAATACGATATATGGTTTGGACAGCATAAAATGAATGGAAACCTATGTAATGTCCCCACTTTTCACAAAAACAAATGTATTTGTGCGCGTGCGTGTGTCCTCTATGGTGAAGTCTGTGTGTTCCTGCAAATATCAAGAGTTACTTGTATTTCTGTTGGTACCAAGGTAACAGCATGGTCAATATCAGCTCGATTGTCAACTCTGCTGCATGTACAGACATACAGAGAATCAAAATTATGTCAGTCTCAGACACAATTGGTGCTTACAGATAGCAAAAACACCACAAGAGGAATGTAAATATACAAATAAATGCAAATAGTTTCAGTAAAATTGAAGAGAAAAATACTACACTATAAATAAGGGCACATAGCAGATAGAGGGCAAATAAATGAAGAGTTCAGTACAGTCAGAGTTTGACTCTTAAAGTGACAGAGCTCATTTTTTACAGTATGTTGAAATGGTATGATTTAGTTAATGTCAAATACATTAGCTCACCAATATTCAAAGATAGTAAATGACGACAGAATTTGTTTATTTAATGTAATATTTTATTTTCGCAAAAATGATTATCCCTTCGAGCTTCTAGTTCTTACCCTTTAAAGTCTATAACCAGTATTTTGTCTAATTCTGATCTAGAGGGTTTTCTGATACTGTGCACATCAAACACACTTTTACATGAGTGAAACTAAACACAGGTGTGCAGCACGTCTCTCCTGCCAGACATGCGTTTCTCATTGTCTTTTTCTCCATCTCTCTTTCTCTCTGTCACTTTCTCTCTCTTTTATCTGTTTTCCATCTCTTCTCAGATCTGTCTCGAAACAGGTTGACGGAGCTGCCAGTGGAGGTTTGCATGTTCGTGTCGCTGGAGAATCTGAACCTGTACCAGAACTGTCTGCGTTCACTACCAGAAAGTCTGATCAACCTGCAGTCGCTCACCTACCTGAACCTCAGGTCATACAAACATAACATTCAGAACAGAACACTACACAACATAAGCTGCGTCCCAAATGGCACACTATACACTATGCACTCATGCACTATGTACTTATGCACTTACACACTCAACAGGATAGTACATGTATGTAGTGGCGTCCCAAATGGCACACTAATGTTTTTTTACTAAGCGGAAATTCAAACCGTTTCCCTGATGACGTTTGACGGTCGCCAAATCAGTGAAATAAACGACCGAATTATCAAATATTACCTGCCGTGAGTGTTGCCGCATTCACCATCGGGAGGCGCTATAATCACTCTCGTAGAAGAATTTTGTTCTCACCATCCAAAATAAATAAAGTTATTCAACATGTGCGTCCGATAGCTCCGCCTCTTCCGCTACGTAAGCAAACCTGCGGTCGTTGAGTGCGTGAAGTGTCCATCATTACACACTTCATTTTAGCGGCTGAATGAGTGCATCATCCGGGAAATTAAAGTGCACTTATTATTTTTAGAGTTTTCAGTGTGAACTACTTACACTATTTATACTACAAAATGGCGTAGGATAGTGCATAAGTATGCGATTTGGGACGCAGCTATAATCTGTGGTTATTTGGGGTGTATATATACATATATATATAGGTCGCATTAGACTTTTTTTTTTGTCCGTCATTTAGACGGAGAGGGTTGTAAAAGTTCTGTTAGAACGTATTACTGCCCATCATTTAATTTGCATTTTTTTTTATCGCTTTTTTCATTCATATTTTAATCTTGAACTTGCATGATGAGCATATAGGCTAAATTATTAATTTATTTTATTCTAAATATGAACAAACTTTAACTCTAATTAATTGTTCAACAATTGTATGGTTTTTTTTTTTCGCACTGACAGAAGATTGAATTAAAACTCGACCTTTTGTGCTAAACACACGCAGATATAAACAATAAAATATGTTACAAAATATAATTCAGACTAAAATAAAAACATAACTTAAAAATATAACTTCAGATGATGTTCTGTAGGCCTAACTGCCTTAATTAAAAGTGATAAGAAGTTTGCAGGATTCTCTGAATGTGGGATTTACCGATCCTGCAAGCTCTCGTTTCACCGAGAAAAATTCATCAGCACGCGCTCTTTCTGCAACAACCGCGCGGCTGCACCCCTCTGCATGTCGTAGTGCTCACAAATGCGCTCCAAAGCACCCCACCTCCGTGATGCCGACAAAACAAGACAATTGCTAATTAATATGGGCAATCGCCATCAGCTGGAATTACAGATAGCTACAAATTAAAAAGATGGCCTTCAGCATAATCCGTCATCACCTGGATCACCTGCCCATTTTTCCTTCACTGCTGAAAAAAAATCTGTCAATGATGGAAAATATTCTGTTATCGCAACCTCTGTTATGTATGTATATATATATATATATATAAATATATATATAAATATATATATATATAGTTAGTGCTTGGCAAGTGTTCATTAATACATCACATTACCACTGCTTACATGTAAGGTTAGGTATTTGAACAATCTCCAGCCATGCAGTGTTTGTGTTTCAGACATGATGACCTACTGTTTAGTGTTTTAGAAATGTGTGTGGTGTCATTACTTTTAGAGCTCATGACATTTCCTGGAAGATGATACATTTCAGGTTTATTTTCAGTAATTCTGTCACCGAATCTAAAAACAGAAATAATGCAACTAACTTAAATAAAATGTGAAAGTTGCATGGGTGTATTTGTAGGAATTTTCAACAATAGAAAAGTATGACTCAAAACTAGAAGTTTTTTTTATGTCAGAAATGATTAGCTTATTCAGTAAAAATCTTCTTCCTTGAAAACAGTTTGTAAGTCCCAACAGTAAAACATGCAAAAATGTATGCATTGCTAAGATCTTTATTTGGACAACATTAAAGGTCTTTTTTGAACTCCTGATAGATTTCTGATGTTCTAATCAGCCAAACGTTGCATACACAGTTGAAGTCAGAACTATTAGCCTTTAAATTTTTTTTCTTTTTTAAATATTTGCTAAATGATGTTTAACAGAGCAAGGAAATTTTCACAGTATGTCTGCTAATGTTTTTTCTTCTGGAGAAAGTCTTATTTGTTTTATTTTGGCTTGAATAAAAGCAGTTTGTAATTTTTTAAAACTCATTTTAAGTACAAAATTATTAGCCCCTTTAAGCTTATTGTTTTTCCATTAGCCCCCCTATTTATTTATTTCCAATTTCTGTTTTACAGAGAGAAGATTTATTCAACACATTTCTAAACATAATAGTTTTAGTAACTCATCTCTAATAACTGATTTATTTTATCTTTGGCATGATGACAGTAAATAATATTTGACTAGATATTTTTCAAGACACTTTTATTCAGCTTAAAGTGACATTTAAATACTTAACTAGTTTTTAAATAGGTAACTAGGCAGGTTAGGGGTAATTAGGCAAGTTATTGTATGAAGATAGTTTGTTCTGCAGGCTATCGAAAAAAATTTGGCTTAAAATACTATATATATATATCATATATATATATATATATATATATATATATATATATATATATATATATATATATATATATGTGTGTGTGTGTGTGTGTGTGTGTGTAATTTTTTTTTGCAAATTTCTGTGAATTACTGCAACAAAATCAGTAATTTTTATCGCAAAAAAAAAAAAAAAAAACGTGAAAAACTAGGGGGCCTGATTAAAACTCTTAACAATGTGAGTAATCCCTCAGAAACAAATTTTATTGGACTGTCCTGCATTTGTTTGTTGAAAACATTTTTTATGAAGTGGATTCATTTAAAGAATTATTCAGTAAAGTTGTGCTAGAAAAAAGAGTTTTCATCATATATTAATAAAAAATGGATGTAAATAACTTGTTTGTTTGTTTGAATGGCTATTGTATTTGTTATTTATGTTAATTGATTTTGTATGAAGATGCATGCCAATGAAGCTAACATGATATTATTGCGATAGTTCACTCCTCAATTAATACTCTGTCATCATTTATTCACCTTTTACTTGTCTCCAGCCTGTTTTACATTCTTTTTTCTGCTGAACACTAAAGAAGATATTGCGAAGAATGCTGTAAACCACTAACCATTGACTTCCATAGTAGTTGTTTTTCCAGTCAATGGTTAAGTTTTCAGCTTTTTTTAAAATATCATATTTTGTGTTCAACAGAAGAAAGAAACTAAAAGGTTTACAACCAGTTAAGGTTGAATAAATGGGGATTAAGTTTTCATTTTAGGGGTTGAACTGCCTATTTAAATACTTTACAAGAAATCAGTCAGATTTATTTAGCAGCTGCAATTGTTTTTCCACATGAAAACTAATAATTTTCATATTTCCTCTACTCACATTTGTCATTTTCCTTATTTTCTCTGCAGTCGTAACCAGCTGTCAACTCTTCCTGCTCACCTGTGCCGGCTCCCTCTTAAAGTGCTGATCGCCTGCAATAACAAGCTGGTGTCTCTGCCGGAGGATCTGGGCAAACTCAGACAGCTCACTGAACTGGTGTGTGGAGCATTTCTGCTGTCCATCTGCACTAGGGCTCCAACATATTGGAAAAATCTGATATTGCGAGATTCTTTTTCTGTGATAAACATTGCGATATGAGTACAGTTTCACAAGATGGTCTGAATAGCTCTATTTGATGGTTTTCTGGATAGTCGTAACAGTATTCAGTTGCAGAAATTAAATCATAATCATATCATAATGCAAAAAGGCTTTTCTTACTTTGCTTTCTCGTTTTTAGTCTAAATACAGTGATCCCTCATTAATCGCTGGCAGTGTTGGGAAAGCTATTCGAAAAATGTGGTGAGCTAAGCTATTAGCTACTCCACTTAAAATGTAGCTTAACTTAAAACATAAATGCTTAGCATAAAAGCTACCCCCTGGGAAATGTAGCAGGCTAAGCTAAAAGCTACATGGCAAGATTAGCTTAGCTACATCTTAGCTATTTTTACAATTTTCATTTTTAAATTGAATCAACTTAAATCGAAGTCAATCATGTCTTAATGATCAATAAAACTGTCAATGAATCATATGAGGCAGAATAGTTCAGTTCAGTTATTTCCTGTAAATAATATGCTTTACTAAACAGAAACACATTATAGTATGTAACAGCTACAACTAAAAATCCAATAAAAGCAGGTGTTACACATTTAAAATACTATAGTCATTTATAGTAAAGGAAAACATTTTGGAATAAGTATTTTTTAGCACAGCATCAGAAAATAAATTATTGCATCTTAACATGTACTACTTAAGGTATGGTCAAGTAATCCTGCTTCAGAAATAACTCCTCTCCCTCAGTCATCTTTCCATCAAGCAAGTTTCACCAGTGGTGGCAGAAACGCACCAAAAACTTTGTCGTCGAACACCGTAAAACAGGAAGAAGAAATCATCATTCTCTGCATTATATGGATTTACTTTCATCGGCTAGACACCGGCCTCACAGCTCTGTGATTGTCGATGTCGTCACGTATTGATCCGCGATCGGTAAATGTAGCTTGTGTGGACACTACTGCGCTACTTGACTAATAAAATAGCTTCGCTACTGAAAAGCTATTTGATTTAGAAAGTAGCAACGCTTCCGCCACGCTACTGAGAAATGTAGTTAGGCTAGTATCGTCACTACGTGTAACGATGCTACTGCCCAGCACTGATCGCTGGAGTTTCGCTCTAAAAATAACCTGCAATAGGCGAAATCCGTGAAGCCATCAGCTTTATGTTTTACAGTTATTATTAGGGATGTAACGGTATTGTAAATACCGTCATACCGCAATATTAATTTTTTTCGATATTACCGAAGTCGCATGACTCGGTAAAACTATAGGTCTTCTGAGAAAATTTGCTCAGGCGAATAAAGCGAACGGGAGGTAGCTTAAACTACATTTCCCATCAGCCCAGGCGTGGCCATAATCCTTTGCGGTCTGTTGTCGCTACAGATCCAGTAATGCGGAAATGGAGTGTGCTGCTAGTAGCGGAGATGAAAAAAAGATGGAAATGATCAAACCTAAAGCGGGTGTTGTCGCCGCGCGCGTACTGAATATCAGCTGTGTTGTCGCGCGCGTATTGTAAAGCGCCGAGGGGGGGTTGAGCGCGCATACTCAAGAGCGGTGTTGTCTACTGAAGGGCTGGACGGAGGTTGTGTTGCGTCGCGGGGGCACTTTTGATCGTTTTGGAAGGGCATTTTCTATCCAAGACTAAAAAGGGCATGTGCACTGCACAGTTTGAGCCCTATGTGTGCACATGCCTGCAAGTTGGGGAATACGACTAATAGCAGTCATGGGGACTACCGCAAAGAGACCTCTATCTCACTCATGGTTTGTCTTCTCAAGTGGAGGAAAGACAATGCACAACGTTACCCACTGCTGTCAACCTGGGCCAAGTCATATCTCTGTCCCAGAATCCTCAGTCCCAAATGAGAGGGTTTTTTTCTGTTGCAGGGGACATTGTAAATACCCAGAGATACCAGCTTTTACCAGATTATAGTTATATGATAATTTTCCTTCAAAACCCATCTCTATCTAAGTAACTGAGTAAGTGATTAAATGTTGAATGTGATGACTTTCAACAATACTTAATTGAAACTTTATTTTTTTTTACATGGTTTAATAATTTTTTGTTATTAAAATTGAAGTTCCTGTTTCAAAGCTTACAGATAGATGGCTAATTTGTATGTCATTGACACTTTTGGCACTTTTTTAGAGTATTTTCATTAGTTTTGTTTTTCCTGTAAATGGTTCAATAAATACCGTACCGTGACATTCATACCGAGGTATTACCGTACCGTGAAATTCTGATACCGTTACATCCCTAGTTATTATAGATGTTTTAAGGCTGTAAAAGCTCTCACTACACACTTTATACACTTTTTCCATACAGGCATAAACATTTTCACACTTTCCTTGTTTAAACACTCTCAAAGTTGAAACTTTGGTCCCACTTTATATTGTGTCCTTAATTAATATGTACTTACACAGGAACAAATAGTTTGTCACATTGTACTTATTATGTAAATACAGGTATTTATTGTGTACTTATGCTTAATTTAATACCTGTATGTAATTACATCTGTAATTAACTTCTGTAGTTACATTTGTAAATACACTGCTGACCATCCCTTACACTTTAACCCACCCTTAAACCTACCCATGCCACCCAACCTGTGCATAACCCAACCCCTATCCCAATTTAAGAGCACCACAAGTGTTCTCAAATACATTATGAACACAGTAAGTACATTGTATATATTTTTTGATGCAACTACATAGTATTTAAGGACACTTAATATAAAGTGGGACTGAAACTTTTATAGACAAATTAGTTCAGTATTATAGAATAAAACCAAAGATTAAAACCATTTGATCTTCATTTATTTATTCGGTAATGGCGCCCTACAGCCTCATACCTTCTACCTTTCTTTAGCATGTCCAGAAGTTCAACTTTTTTTGCGATGGTTAGCATCTTCCTCTGCCTTTTGGGTGCTCCTGCAGGTGCCTTTGACGGTGCAAAATGTTTCGTCAACATTGTGGGGAGAAAACTTACTACTTCAAGACTTACAGCACTTCAGAGGCACACTGCTAGCAATTGAAGATTAATGTGGGACCACTGTCGGACTAGAAACGAGACTAAGCATTTTTGCATTGTGATTATTCAAGTTCTGTACCTGAATACACTGCTAGCAATCAAAGTTTATGTAAGTTTGGCAAGCTGAACTCATTCTGCACTGTACAGGAGACACGGCACGGCGATGATTAATTGACAATGGTCTTCAACCAATCAGGATGCAGAACACAATGTGCTGTAAAAAAGCATGTCAAATTACACGAAAAAAATCGGTGAAACTCTGAGGTCACGAAAAGTGAACTGTGTTATAGCAAGGGATCGCTGTATTTTTTTATTTTTTTTCCTTCAGAAGAAATAAATCAAATAGGTCAGTTTTTTCCGTAAATTTACCAGTGAGGAAAGAAAAATAAAATTTAGATATTTGGACTAGAAACAACACAAAAATTAAGAAAAAAAAGATACATTTTTTTTTTTGCATAAATCGTATAAATTCCCTATAAATCCTGTAATTCAAAACAATTTGGTTGCTTCTGGTCAAATAAGACTGTTGCCAATGTGCGCTTTGCGATATCGACGCTAAAACGATGTGTTGTGTAGCCCTAATCTGCACAATTCCTCTCGCTCTGCACATCACTGATTAATCCTCTTCGTCTCCTCCAGGACGTCAGCTGTAATGAGATCCAGACGCTTCCTCCACAGATCGGTCAGCTGGAAGCTCTGCGCGACCTCAACATCCGCAGAAACCACCTCGTCCGCCTGCCACCTGGTCAGAAACACACATACACACACATTGTGGGGACTTCCCATAGACGTTATTAAGTTTATACTTTATAAACCCTACATTATCTCCCCCTACCTCAAATCTAGCCCAAATTTCAACCCTCACATGAAAACAGTCTGCAGATTTACATTAAAACTCAGCAATACATTCTGGGCAAATTGACTACCCTTTCGTTATGATCGGGGCTGTTTCTGAACCATTGACTTTCATTATAGTGACATTTTCTGCTTGCAAAGCTATGACACCATATAATCATGCATTCTCGATTGTTGCTGGTTTTCCCTATTAGGAGGAGGTATAGTTTGTCATTTTTAGTTGAAAATTAGAAATTAAGATTTTGGTAGCCTTGCTAGAAAACACAATGGATGTCAGGCCAGTGATTTTTCTAGCCCTGTCCATCCCTATAATAGCACACTTCTCCTGATGTTCTCTCATCTCACACTTACAAAACTCCAGAAATAAAATACAGAATATTAAAACAAAAAACAGTTGTATGAAAATCAGGACTGACTAAACTCAACTTTGTGATTGTCTTATTTATTTATTTATTTTAAAATGGTAGTATAAGAAAGCAAGGCGTCATGGCGTCAAGTCTGACACTTTCATTTCAGAACAGACTTCAACGGAGTCCCAAACCTTAAATCTCACACACAAGGACTTAAACAGCTTTTATATTGTCATATAGCACAGGTATTTAAGCGTGTTATTGAGAGCGAGAGAGCGCAATGTCAGCCACGTAACCAGTATAAACTAATATAAAACTAGTGCATACATCACATTCTTAAATCATGCCATGGACATTATATTAAGATGCCTAAAGGTTTAAAAAAGCCTATATATCAAAAGAAGATGGACAAATGAGAACCTTTCTGTCATAAACAATAGTAAAACAGCTTGTCAAAAGCTGCAAACAGATTACATACAGGAATAGAGAAAAGAGCACGCTTTAATTATCAGCTGTTAGTCAGTGCCCGCTCTTTTTTTTTTTTTTTTTTTTTCCTGATTATTGCGCCTTTGCCGTGTGCTGTGTAAATGCAGACAAACGTATACGAGTCACTTTTAAAAGATTATGTTAGCAGGTCATCAAAAAAATTGGATACAGTCACAAAATCGGGATTGACCATCAAGATCTGCAGTGTCAATGCAGCCTAAAAGAAATGCAACATACAGTTAACCAACAGCAGCAAGTAATTAGAGTGATACATCTTACATTTAGAAAATAATTTTAAAGCTTGGACTATTTCACTCTAATAAATCACAGTATGTATTTTAGCAATCTTGAATGAACCACTTAAAAAATATTAATAAAACAACAACATTTATTTGATTATTTTTTTTACCCAGCCGTACCCCACTCCATGCACTGAAACAACTAAGCTTTCTTTGTATACTGTTGTGTCATTTGTGTGTTTTCTCTGGTTTGCAGAGCTGGCGGAGCTGCCGTTGGTGCGGCTGGATTTCTCCTGTAATAAGGTGACGTCAATCCCAGTGTGTTACCGCAATCTCAGACACCTTCAGAGCATCATTCTGGACAACAATCCTCTGCAGAGCCCACCTGCACAGGTAAAAACAGCGTCCACTTTCTGAACTATTGATCACAATAAAGTCAAACCCCGGGATTTACACAGGATTTATACAGGAGTTAAAGGGATAGCTACACTCATATTTATTGAGAGGGGGATTAAAAAACCCTATTTGTCACTTGTGTAAGAATGTTCTGACAATGATAAAACATATTTAAATAGAAAATGTATTTTTAAATTATATTAGAGGGCGTTTTTATTAAGGGAAATGTGTCTTTCTACAGGAAATTTAGAAAATTGAATCATGAATCTAACTAAGAGATTGTATATTACTCCTTTCAGTGTTGTTGTTTTTAGTATGTTTTTTTGTACTATGAATGTTCAATTAGAAACCCGATAGGATTGCTTGTTATATATTGTATATTTAGTAGAGGTTTTGCCATGAATATAGTCAATGCTTCTGATATGGCATTAAAACATAAATAAATAATAAAGTGATAGCTCAAATGTGTAGTTAATTCACTCATCCTCGGGCTTAGAGCATTAAAGATGCCTTTAAGCTGAAATTGTGGTCCTTAGTGATTCATAACATGCAGTAAAGTTGGGAAGGAATACAGCTGTGGATATGCACATCAATATAGCAAACTTTTTCTGACACTGTTCACCAATAATTACTGTTTTTACGTTACTATGATGGTAGGGGTAGACAATAATGAAATACACTTTTATGAGTTATTTAATTATTAATATGATTAATAGTCAGATAATTACTGTTTTCACAGTACTGTGATGATTGGGTTTAGGGTTGGGGTAGGGATAGACAAAAATAAACTACATTTGATGGGTAATTTAGTAAATAATATGAACAATACTCTGTATGATTACTGCTTTTATAGTACAGTGATGCTTGGGTTTAGGGTTGCGGTAGGAATTGACATTAAAAAATACATTTAATGGGTAATTTAATTAATAATATGAATATTAATCTATATAAATACTGTTTTCTCAATACTGTGATGGTTGGTTTTGGGTTTGGGGTTGGGATAGACATTAATAAAATACATTTAATGGGTAATTTAGTGAATAATATGAATAATACTCCGTATAATTACTGTTTTTATATTACTGTGATGCTTGGTTTTAGGCTTGGGGTAGGGATTGACATTAATAAAATATATTTAATAAGTTATTTAATTAATAATATGAATATTAATCAATATAAATACTGTTTTCTCAATACTGTGATGCTTGGGTTTAGGATTGGTGTAGGGATAGACATTAATAAAATACATTTATAGGGCAGTTTAGTAAATAATATGAATAATACTCTGTATAATTACTGTTTTTATAGTACGGTGATGCTTGGGTTTAGGGTAGGGGTAGATGGTAATAAAAAAACAATGTAACGGTTAATTTAATTAATAATAAAAATAATAGTCTGTATTATTACTGTTTTAGAGTACTGTGATGGTTGGGGTAGACGTTTAATAAAATACAAAAAATGGGTAATTTAAGTATTAAAATAATTAATAGTCTGTATAATTGCTGTTTTTACATTACTGTGAGGGTTGGGGTAGGAATAAATGCTAATAAAATATAATTAATGGGTAGTTTAAGAAATAATATGAATAATTCTTGTTAACATTTGGTCGTAGCTGTATCCCTGGTAGCAACAATCATAAAATGCATGTCAATGACTAGCATCTCTTTATGAGTAAAAAATTAACAAATAAAACAAAAGCAATTAATCGTGTGGCTGCTAACAATACTCTGAAATAGTTTTTTAGTTTTGATTTGCCAGAAAAGGTTTTTGAATTTGTCTTAATATTAATGCAAAAAGTGTAATATAATCTAAATGGTTTGTTTAATTGTATTTGTATAGCCTTTGTATTGTTTCGTATTTGCCATGAAGTTATAAAAATACAAAAACACGATATTATATGATGTGAAAGACACTGAGTTCAAAATGACCGTTTTCTATGCAGATAGAATAAAAATAATTCTAGATTGATTTATTCTTTGTAAATACACAGTAGCCATCTGGTGTTTTTTTTAAATAATATCCTTATAAATAAACTGCATAGTTGCAATCTAAACAACTACATTCTTGACTAAAATAGTTTCGAAAGTACATTATGTTGCCCAAAAGCAGGAATATTTGTCAAAGTGTAGTGCGTCCTCTGCTTGAGGACCAGACAGAACTGTTGTTTATATATATATATATATATTGTTTTACTTTATGAAAGTGAACAGGTTTTTGAGTTACACTTTAATATGTATTTACTAGTATGAACATTATATTTAATACAGTATATATTCATCTTTGTTAATAAACATTAATGAAAATAAAGTTGTTCATTCTTAACTCACAATACATTAAATAATGTTAACAAGCATGAATCTGGATTTTAATAATGCCTTAGTAAATGTTGAACTATGATTATTAAATCTGGTACATGTATTGTTCATTATTAATTCATGTTAGTAAATCTATTAACTACTAATGAGACCCAATTGTAAAAATTGATCAATTTCTCCATGCTTTTTAACCATATTTTTAATACAGTAGTTATGCAGCTTACAAATCTTGAATATCTTGTCTACTGATGTGTTTCCAGATCTGTATAAAGGGAAAGATCCACATATTTAAATATCTGAACATGGAGGCGTGTAAAGCAGCATCAGAGCTTCCAGACTACGACAGAAGGCCTCTGCCTTTCGGCTCCTGGTAAGAACAAACTTTACTTTTGACATTTCATCCGCACCCTCATTCACGTGAGCCGCTGTTTATCAGCGAATCTCAGAGGACGCACAGAGCAGGAGATGCTGATGATAAAAGGCCAGGAAAACACACTGAAAGAATGAAAGATTGCATTGATTAGAATGAAGGAATGGGGAGATGATACATTGCAGGGATACCTGATGATTTAGAGATCAAACGTCTCAAATGACAGAAACCTTTTTATTTATTTTTAGTTGAAATTTTGTGCGCCAACTACTACAGTGTATTTTATTTATGACGTGTATTTTTTTGTCATCTTGTTTTAATAGTATTTGTAAGTATTTACAGATGGGGAGTGGTGTGCTGCTGTTTTAATAAGACTTTTATTTAGCTGGATGGCTTTTAAAAAAATAAAAATAAAAGTAATGAAATAAATGAGTGGAATTTTCACACAATTTTAAAGCTATTGGATCAAACTTAGCCATGAAAAACACTTATTTAGTTATAGATTTTTACATTTTTGCCATTTAAGTTTAAAAAATACAATAAAATAATGTAAAACCGTATAAAATACAATGCAAGTTATTAAATAAAATCTAAACTTAAATAAGCATTTATACTATGAAATAAGTAAAATAAAGCAAAATAGAACATTGCATAAAATTAAACATTAAATATAATTCAAGTAAAATGGAATGTGAAATTGTATAAAAAATGTATTAAATAAAATATTAAATAAAACTTTACAATAAATGACATATACTTTTGTTTAAAACAAAATAATAAATGAATTTAATTAAACAGGAGAACTTTTAAGCCAAATTAATGAAGTAGAGGACAATATAAAACCTAATATAAAATAAAATAAAACATTACAAAAATGACATTTATTCAAAAAAAATATTTTTAAAATAATTATTAAAGTGGTGTAGTGGTTAGTGCGTCAACACATGCACTCCGGTGCTCACGGCGACCCGAGTTCGATTCCCACCTCGAGGTCCTTTGCCGATCCTTCTTCTCTCTCTGCTCCCCAAACTTTCCTGTCAATACACTACACTGTCCTGTTAATAAAGGTGAAAACCCCTAATAAATCATTATTAAAAATACAATATATATATTATATATTTAAATAATATTTAATAATATGTTTATATTATATTATATTATGAAAATATAAGATCAAATAAAAATAAATAAATTAAACATTATTATTATTATTATTATTATTATTATTATTATTATTATTATTATTATTATTATTATTATTATTATTATTATTATTGTTAGTTTATTGTTAGTTATTAAAAGTATATAATTAACTATAATGCATAACTTGTCAAGCATCACTCACATTTTCACCTTTCAAAATAAAAGCAAAAATACAAAGATGTCAAAGTTATTTTAGAGTTAGTTCAGCCTAGCAGGCTATTTCTGTGTGTTTGATCATCTCCAAACCGGATGTAACATGCTGTACTATTTTCAGTGTGGAGGATCTGTACTCCGGCCGACCGTATGGAGCTCTGGACTCTGGCTTCAACAGTGTGGACAGTGGAGACAAGAGGTGGTCCGGAAATGAGGCAAGTGCTTTCAGCTCACTGGATCATACATATAATCAGTAATGCACCGTTGATTTTATTATAGTTTTGTTTTCTTTCTCTTCATGAAGCCTTCAGATGAGTTGTCAGACTTGCCGTTGAGAGTGGCTGAAATCACCAAAGAGCAAAGACAGAGACGAGAACGAGACGATCACCGGACGGCGACTCACATCACCAACGGCACAAGTCAGATTTCAATTAAATCAGACTCTAAACTGCATAAAAATGTTCTTTTCAGGATTTTTTTAAGTCTCTCTGAAATCAAACTTGATATTTTTGTGAGTGTCAGTATCATAGATATTTGCACTAGATGTCACCTATGCTATTGTTGTCTGTTAGAAGGTGTGTGTCAATAGAGCAGCCTTTTTACTACAGGGTAACGTTCCTTTGACAGGAATGTGGGAGTAAGGTGCAGTGGAGTACTGGCCATCCAGAGCAAAAGATATGTACACATTAGGCTTGGGCGGTATCCAAATTTTGATACTGTCAAACCTTCTCCCTATTTTACCCCAGTATCCGGTATTACCATGCATAATTAAAAAAAAAATGACGTAAGACTCGTCAAACTGTTGGCTTGTGCCTAAACCATTCAGGAACTGAATACCGTACATGCGACCTTTGGTTAGCAGTCACCTGTTTGTCTTGTTCGTATTAGAGATCTGTGCAGGATGCTCTCTCTCTCTCTCTCTCTCTCTCTCTCTCTCTCTCTCTCTCTCTCTCTCACTCTCTCTCTCTCTCTCTCTCTCATTCTTACACACACACAGAGAGAGAGAAAAGCACAGCACTACGCTCTCTAATTCTCAAACACGCACGCACGCACGCACGCACGAACGCACGCACACACACACACACACACACACACACACACACACACACACACACACACACACACACAGAGAGAGACGCATAGCACTATGCTCTCTCTCATACTCACACACACAAACAAACAAACAGCATCCACGCGGCCGCTCCCTTACAAATTACACCAGTGTTACAGACCGCTCCCGCCCCACGCTTTATTCGGAAACTCATTCCCGCACCGCGAAATATCTGGTCGGCTCCCGCAGTAGAGCAGCGGGAATGTAGACTTCCAGTTCGTATTTACCCCGTCTCCCTTCTCGTTCGGTCGAAACCGGAAATATTGCCAAACTGCCACCTCTCCCTCTTTCTTCCTCTTTCTCTCTTTCTCTCTCTCTCCTCCACACTGTCCCGTGATGAAAATCACGCATATGCATTTGTAGGGATTAAATAAATAATTTTAATATTTAATACTTGTCTACTGTTTAAGTGCATGGTTTTTTTGACGGTATAACGGTATTGAAACTGACACTAATGCTAATTTTAGATCCTGTGGTATACCGTATTATCGTATTACAGCCCAAGCCTAATACACATGTATACATATATCCATGATGGAAAGTTTTCCCAGAGGTCAGTATTTATTTAAAATTACGAACATTATAATTTGACATCACTTTTCTACATTGATGGATCAGTGATCGCACGGGCATTGGAAACAAAGAGCGTGTGTTTGTGTGCATGGAAATATATTTTTTATATTTTTAATATATATATTAAATAATATATATATATATTTTTACCTGTTAAATTTGATCTAATCCGTGTCCTGAAATGCATATCCTCTCCCGATTTCACTTCTAATTCTAACAA